CTGTGTTTGTGGTTTTTAGCCAGTCGGATCGATCGAGCCGCATATTCGGGGATGAGTCTCAGTGTTCTATGACCCAGCAATGACCAGTGTGGGAGAATAGGCACATGGTCAACTACATGTGTTAGTGATATTAGAGAAAATCTGAGGAAATTTAGGAGAATTCTTATTGTTTTGCTGTACACCTGTAGCAGAATTCGTATGTAGACTTGTATCATGGGTGCTCGCTTTTCTAAGCTCTGCTGAGAAACGCGAACATATATTCCAGCACTGTCAATGACTTTGAGATAGTGTATATCCTACTTGTGTCTTCCGAAGGGTGGACTATGATGTGATTATAGATACCTGGTGTAACTGTTCAGGTGATGTCATCAGCATTGGTAAGTCTACAGGGAGAATCATCGTACTGGGTAGGAGTTATGCCTCTTGAATTGGGTGAGAGTTGAGAAACCTGAAGTACACATATCAGAAGTCACTGCTCATGCCCGTTCATCTCAGCTCATCTCCTATGTCAGGTTTTGGTATGTAGGCCTCTCCAAAGCCATCAACGGTTTGTTCCGAACGATTTTTGGCAGTAATTGCAGAGAGGACTTCATTAAGTAACGTTGTCTATGCATGGTCATTGCTTGCATGCCTTCCGTTTTTCTTCTGCCTCAGACCTGTAGACTCAACTGGTGGAGGAGCCAAGACGGTATGGCTCATCCTGCCCAATGGATTCGAAGTCGAATCGTTCGGGAGAGTAATCTTGTCAACGTAACTTGATGATGAAGCGGGTAAAGGAAGATCGGTAACTTGTGTCTCCACAAGTGGGGTAATGTTGGAACGATGGTTACTCGATTTGGACAGGCTAGATCTAGCCGTCGGTGCTTTACTCGACACCGAGGGTTGCTTCATGCTCTTAGCACGTTTAGCAGATGTAGCGACCTCGTCGCTGATGGAGGTAAGGCTTCTCATTCTACTGGTAACGCCTGCATCTGCTGCTGGTTTAGGCTGTCTTATATTTACATATGAAACACCTGAGGAGGTGAACTCTGAAAGACAGGTGAAGTATTTACCCTTGGGTGTTGGTTTGGCCTTCGCCTTCACCTTGGCTTTCCCCTTGGTCTCCGCTTTCACCTTCATCGCCTTCGTCTTCGGATCTGCTTCCGGCTGTTCTTGACCATATCTCTCTGGTTTCTGAAGCGTCTTTCCGGCAGCGGCACGTGTTTGCATTTTGACGATTATGGCAAAGCTAACAAGATGGTCTCTGGCGGACAGACTGTCTGCTCCCGGCTCATGTCCCACTCGATTGATCCAATGAGGACTGCTGGCTCGACGGTGTTTCAATCATGTTGAAGTACCTTCCTGACTGGCAATCCCGGCAGGTGTTTCACCATTTAAGATTGTTTGTAAGAGGCAATCAGCCGATCATTATATTTAGGTATGAATTGTGAATGCCAGTTTATCTCCTGCAAATTAACGTACTGTTTGGATGCTCCAGGTCCTGGGTGCCAGGAGTATGTGGGACGCGGGCTTCTGCTAATAAACACTCTCTTACTGGCAGTTGAAGTCGAGCCGCTGAACTCACCCATGTATCGAAGAAAGCGTCCTATGTGATTATAGCTGAACTCGCATAACCGCATGTTCGCTCGTAGTTTCTATCCATGTTACAGTGACCCCATCTGATTTGTTGATTGTTGCGTTTAGCGAAGTGT